GATCTTCCACTCGACCTTCATCACTTTAAAATTTGCTACAGCTTGATAGTTTTTAGTAAATTTTATTACAATACTATCTATAGCTAAATCATTTTATGCTATAGCAAACATTCAAGTTAATCCCTCAAAATCCATTCTGGTTACTAATAATTCTCTACTCTACTATACTCTTATATCTTATAATAATCATCTATTTCTACTTTATTCTTTTAAACAACCCTTCAAAATTTTAAATTAATGTTTTATTTTATATAATAGACAATCTAAACAAACAAAATTAATTATCTCTGAATTCTCTCAACTTATCCAAATCACAAAAACAAAATGTATAACTGATTCACATGCCTGCTATATTATTAATACAGTTATCATCCCTACTATTAAATAACACTTATATAATATTGTTATTAACTAATCTACTTGCAACAAAATTTTCACTCAACACATTGGTCTTGTTAAGCTTAAAGCTAAACTTTAATGTATAATACTATCCAGTACTCTATTATATACTCAAATCTACAACATTAAACATATTTGGAATATTCAACTACAACACCATATTCTCAATCTTCTCAAATGGTTTAACAATTCTAACCTACTAGGCATATCTACTTAAATCTGTATTTAACAACTTCAAAACAACATCTGGTCTTCTACTAATATTTTTCTTCATCCTAATTCAACTATTGATAAATCCAATCAATTAACCACAAACTTCAAAATAATACAACTTATTAGATATATAGGCTGGACTTTTTCAGCTAGCCCAATCTACAACATCTCATACACCCTAAATGATGAAACTATATCTTTTAAATCATTTCTTTCTTCTTATCTAAAATATCCTATTTTCAAAAAACAATTTAGGCATTATAAACTTCTTTTCTTGAACCAACTTTCTATTTATAACAACTCATGTCTTTTGCACTAACAACATATTTTATTCAGACTTAACAAAATTTCAAAAGGCGTTATACTACAATAGTTTATTACTCTTGAAGACATTAGTACAAGTTACTTTTACCAATGCACCCTATATAATTATTATAATTTAGGGCAATGACAGATATTACCTAAGATTTTAGGGAGTGGTGGGTTAATGAAGATCTTAGGTTACACAATATATGCATGTTGTGATTGGCTAATATGTATTATTAGCAAGAGAGGGTCAACAGAGATCTTAGGTTATACATATAGACTTATTGTGATTGGCTAATATGTATTATCAGCAAGAGGGAGTTAACAGAGATCTTAGGTTACACAATATAGACTTATTGTGATTGGCTAATAATTCAAAAAGATCTTAGATTACACAGTGTAGACTATTGTGATTGGCTATAGAGCTAACAGAGATCTTTGTTCATATTTTTTAAAAATTTTAGACTATGTTCAAATCTATATGTCCATGTCCAAAAATTAATATCCATATTTTGTCTATATTATTTTAATTAGTCCAAATGTCTATATTGGCCAATACTGGTTAAATACAGAACCTGTTCAAGAACCAAAGTAACATGTATTATAAAAGCGAATAGAATGACAGCTGTATATGTACTTAAATTTACAGGTTTTCTATTTCTGTCATTCATTTATATATACAAGTCCTGCCAGAAGAAAACCAAACTGCTGGCTTTGAATTTATCACTTTATCAGACTTAGCCTAATCAGAGTGTATAATATATAATTGAAGGCACATATACTGCCTTTAATCTGGTAAAATGATAAATTTAAAGCCAGCAGTTTGGTTTTCTTTCTGGTGATACTCATATATTGTCAGATTATTAGCTTATAGTAACATGCATATAGTAAAAAGTTTAATGTAAAAAATGTCATGATTACATTTCTAAAAATCAAACTTCAAAATATAACATTAACAAGGTCATAAAATTAAACATATTTATTAATATATTACTGGTATATAATCCCTCATGTCATTCCAAATTTAATTGTAAATTCTTTTTACTACTTATTTTTTTATATATGTAAGTGAGAGTCTATAAAAGATAACAACGTGATTAAAGATTTGTAGATAATTTTGTTATTATTATGGCTAATTTGGTTGGTATCCAAATTTAAAGAGTACTAACTGATTTATTAAGACAGAATTATTTAATATATTATATATAAATGATCTACATTATTAATAAAAAAAATAATCGGTTGAAGGATAGGGTAATCAGTTAAACATTAGTTTTCTTATATGATTTTTTTATTTTCAGATAGTTTACAGTAATGTACATGTCAATTGAGTATAATTTTAAGAGATTATCAATAAAATTTGATTAAATTTTACAGTTTTAGTAATTAAAAAAAACATCCAAAAACTAAATTAGCTATAATGCATGATTTTACACAATTTTTATTTTTTATTTCAGTGATTTATATATCATCTAGCCAGCTTCGCTTATTCTATCAAATAGGCCCATTCGATTTTTCAATATACATTATGAAAAGAATCTTTAGATCAGCCAGGTCAGTATAAAGACACTATATTTATAATAAATAAAATCTTTCATTTATGGTTAATAAAATCTTATATTGAAATTATTTTAATAAAACTTACTCATTCTCTGTCTAAATTATAAATTCTTACTTCATTGACTTCTGATTCATGTGATTTTTGTTGAAATTGAAGAAGAGAAAAATCATTAAAAGTTAGTGAATTTTGTTTCAATTTGTTTTTTAGATTGTCCTCAAGTAGCAGGATGCATTAATCACTTGTGATTTGTTAAAAATGAGAGTATAAGAAAGTACTTTTAGCAAACATAACAACAAAGTCGTAAATATGTGTTTTTGTCAATAGTTGAACAATGAGCATTATGGTTTTACCATAAAATCCTGACATCTAAAATCTCGAAAACCATAATCCTGACATCACGTGGCGTAACAATTAATATTTAAAAATTAGTAATCACATTAATAATCATTGTCAGACTTTAAATTTTAATTGTCATGTTATGTGATGTTAGGATTATGGATTTCGAGATTTTGGATGTCGAGATTTTTTGGTAGAACCGAGCATTATATTCAGGGATTTTCATAAGATCACAATACTGAAGAAGATGAATAGGATTTGTAAACTGGCTGTCTTTGGCTTTTGTAATAGGTGGTAGAAAACTATTATATAAGTTAAGAAAATCTATAGCTTTCTTGGCTCTGGATGGTCCATAGCAACTAATATTTGTGCATCATTTGATATCTAAAGAATAAGTGCACATATTACAGTGAGATTCAATCCAAGACCATGGTACAAAAAATTCGAAGAAGGTATGTGTCATTTTTTCATTTGCTTTGTTTGATTTTTGATTTTCTTTTATTTTTCTTTTTAATTCTTCAGCCTCTTCATTTTTCATTCTTTTAAATTGCAAATTCTCAAAGAGATTCATAGTTTTGTCAATATAGTGAGCATCAACTTTTTTTCCAAAAATTAAATCATAGTGCCAAATTTCACAAAGAGCCTCTCCTACATAGCTAAAATTTCGAGCAGCCAATTTCAGATTCGTAACCTTGCCTTGTGTATTCAAACGCATACCAAAATAGTCAATTAGCAACGTGCTACTGGCAATCTTACCAGATAATATCACCATGCCCCTTTCAACTGAATTATACTTTGATTGCCCTGAGGCATATGTTTGTACACTTAAAAAATCCAAATTAAACTTTTTGAAGAGTTGGCAATATGTTTTTATGTTTTTTAGATGTTTAGGATTTTCGTCTGGCCCTCTATCTACTAATAAAATCCATATTGGTCAAATTTTTCTATTTTTTTTTAGCATTTAATCATATTTAGAATTTGAAGTTAGATTTTTTAGATCCTTCATATGCATAAGTGATGCTGTGCCAAGTGACAATTGGGGATGTACAAAAATTGCCAACTGTTCTATTCACAATTGGTCATTAGATTTATTTGGCTTAATCATCAAATATACTGACAGAATTAATTTTTGTCTAAATCCTATGAGAAAATCATGGTTTGCGATATTTATAGGTTCATTAATAGATTGTAATGTGCAGAATGTTCAACTTACTGCAGGTACTCCAAGACCTATTTTCACCTTGTTGTCTTGAGAGACAATAACTGACATGTTATCAAAAGTGCTAGCAAATTGCTTCATACATTTTACTAATACAAGACAGTAGTAACTATAGAGATGTTTATACGTTTCAATACATGAAACCCCAGTGACTGCAACTTGTGCTGGATGGTGGTATGCTTTTGCAGCAATTGAGTTTGCTTGGCAAGATAATAGGTAATTGTTTAATGTAGTTCTCACCATATAAATTTCATACTTTTCCTCGAGATTTTACGCAAATTTTCTATAATTCGGATTTTAACAGCTTCTTTTCATTGTTTTGCATTAGCTGATCCAAATTCTATACAATTATATATATGATTGTGTAAATCTAGATACTTAAAGAGTAGTGGTGGCTTTCCAGATTTATCATAATGGATGACTTTTTGATTTTCAATAAGTAGTTTTAATTTTTTTCTTTGCAATTTTGGGCATATTTGGCATTTCTCTTTAACTTGTTAATTTTATTTTTGTTAGATTTAATTTCAGCCTGCAGGTTTTCTATTCTTGAATATATGTAATTACAGACTTGAATATCAGTAGTCATATTGTAAATTTTCTCAAATTCTTGAAGTTTTTTTTCAGCAATCTTGATTTTATCTGCTGCTCTTTTTTGGGCTAATGCGTTAGCAGGAATTTCTAATAAAGGATCTACTGCTACTGAATTAACAGTTAACAAAGGAGGTGAACATGATTCTGTTGCAGGTACTAAATGTTTATATTTCATTGTTTATATATCATATAGATTAATTGGTGTGGCCATGTAGCTATGAATTATTTCATTAATATTTTCTATTTTCTTTTTTTTAACATTATTCCATTCATTTGTAGCTTCACAACAAACAGAAGTGCGATTGGGAGCATGATTACTTGTTCTCACCATAATACTATATACATAAGCATTTGTGAACTCTTGATATTTATTATTTGGTGAATTATATATTGGTTTTTTATTAAATGTGGGACTAAAAAAAAATGTTTGCTAACTCATATTAACTTTTGTAAACAAAAATATATATATATATATTGTATTATGGATAAAGCAAGCTTGAAATAAAGTTTTTGTATTTAAAAATCATAAGAAATCTAAGTTTATATTTTAGAAATGATCATCATGTTTTAACTAATATATGTATGTATCAGTATGTACTATACTTGCTAAAAAACAATTACTATCACTATTTATAAAAAATTGAACCAAAAAATAGTCTTGAAATTTTGCTAATATATTATATATAACTATAAGAATACTGTTTATTATATTTGTTTGAATAAGAATTATTAATAAAATTTTTGAGATACATATAAATTTGGCCAGAGTTTGGGATTTGGGTACAGACAAACTAATTTTAATAGTTTGGGATTTTGCCAACAAGTATGAGAACAATGCATATTTCAGTTCTAACCATAGCTATATAAGATAAATGCTATCTCTTTATGTGTATAATTTAAGTGTTTATTATGATTTTACTAACAAATTTGACTGCACAATGTATTATGATACAAAATAATATCATTGATAGTTAGAGATCATTATGATGATATTTACTAATACTAATTTATCAAAGCAACTGTCTACCTTTATATACAATTAATTAAATATGAAGCTAATTCTTTCTAGAACTTATGATATTACAACAGGCATTATGCCATCATGGAAGTCTTGTGTTATCATATATACAATCATATTAATTATAGATAGTGCTGTATTGGTATGACTAGTAGAAAAACAATGCATATACATGCACAGTTTAGCTCTAATTGTAATTCTGGATTGAATGCTATATCATCTCATATAAGACAAAGTGAAATTTATTTAGAGTTTAATTATAATGAATTTACTACTTTTGATATATTCTTAAAGTGAGACATTTTGTATCAGAAGGAATTCATTTTTATTTATTATTATAAGTATTGTATAAACCATTTTGCATTTTCAGAAGAAAAAGTCTTTTTTATACTTCCTATTTTTCTGAGAAAGCATTTACTACATTGTATCAATTATTTAAGTACTTTTTATTTTGAGACAGGGCACAAAATTTCTGAATGCCAGAAGCTGCTTTTTCTCTAGTAGTGTTTATTTTTAACTAAAACTTAGAAAACTTGGTAGTTTTTTAATAATGATATTGTAATATTTATATATATACATATATATGATATTATATTTGGCAATTTTCTGATTGATGAAAAGTCAAGGCAGAAATTGTCATGTGTAAATAGAAATTTCCAAAATTTTACAATACGTAAGATTTGTGCCCTGCTTTAAGATTAGCAAGAATAGTAATAGTTTGTATGTTCTTTTATATTATTTTTTATATATAACATTGCCTTATACAATAAATATACTAGCTCAATTCAATTATTAACTCTTATTCTAGTCTTATTAGGCTTCTACACCTTATATGATAAATAATTAGCTCAACATGACAAATAAACAGAGTATTGTATATTTGAAATTTTGTGTTATGTGAAGTTTAAAAATTTTTTTGATCACTTTTATTAGCTAATTATATTGCTAGAACTATTTTTTAACTGTTAGTTTTTACATGCTACTACTACTAACAAATTTGCATACTAGAGGTTTAAAAAAAGTATATACCAATATGTATATATATTTATTAGTATTATATAAATAATATATATATTACTAGTAATAGTTTACTAATAGTCTAATCAAATATATTATAGTCTAGTATATCTTAGATGGAGGGAAGGGGTAAAATCTTATAGCAATTAGATATTAGGTAATATCTGTTATTACTTTAATATAATATAAGAAAAATATACTTTTTTGTATAACAAAATTAAGTATTTTGATTGGTATTAGGTGGGAGGAGGGGTATAGGCTTATAGTAAATGGATATTAGGTAATATCTATCACTGCCCTTATTAATTGACCTTAATTATTTGTTACTAATGTTTATTTAATTTGTTAAATTTTCATAGTAATGGTATCCATAAGTCACTAATAGAAATAATAGTATATATGCATTACTATTGCTAATAATTAACAAGTTATTAACAATTAGATAACTATTTACTGCAACAATATAATATAACTATGATTTCTAATAATATCAGTATAGTAGATATTGGGCTAATACAAATATGTATATACAGTAGTTAAAAAAAATAATACCTGATTTGCAAATTGTTATATGTGAACAAATAAAAGAGTTATGCATACACCATTCTTACAAATTTTGAGCTAATTTTTTTTTTTATTTCTTTAATATCAAAAAAATAAGCATATACAAAAGAATTTTTTTTTAATGAAAATGTCATACAAATAAATAATAGAAAAAGAGAAAAGAATGATTCTTGTTAATAATAGTATAATAAGTGCTGAACAAGTTATTTATAAGATTAAGTATGACTCAATAATAGTCTGAAGATTTTTACAAAAATATAGAAAGATCAAAAAAATCAAGAATTTAACTTAGTTCAGACATCTTCTTGCTCTAAAGAAACAAGAAAAGACCATTATATTAAAAAAAATATTGAAGAAAAGATATATGTTACTAGTCAAAATTATAAAAGATTTAAATCTTCAATACAATATACAAACTATAGTTAGAATCTTACATAATATTGAACTTCTTCTCATATCACTGCCTTAAAACCTTTTTTTTAAGTAGTAATAAGAAGAATATATAGAATAATGTAATTAAAATAAAAATAAAAATACTTATTATTGGAGACATTATTTTTTTGGATAAAATGAGTATAAAAATAAGTAAACAATTCTACCAAGTTTGTGTATAATATTACACAAATGAGAAATACAAACATGAATGTTTGTAACCAAATTTTAGAAATCAAAAGGTCTCAGTAATGGTTTAATCATGTTTTATTAATAATATCAAAGGTCTCATAATATTTTTTGATGATTACAAAGGTTTTAAACAAAAAATTAATAAAAATATTTATACTAAGATGTTAAATAATCACCTTATATTATTTTTAGTTACAGTCTGTTTGTTAAGCATCTTTTATCTAATTTTTCAACATGACAATGCTTCAATTTATAAGGTGTCAGATTGACTAAATTTGAAAAACATTGATTATATGAATTGACTCTTATGATTCTCTTATCTTGACCTTATAGAAAATATTTGGAAGATCATAAAGAACAATATTCAAAACTGTGATGACTTCTCAAGAAATAAATCTGACCTTAGAATAACCTTACAGAAAAAATGATCAAATTTGAATATGTCAGTTCTTTGTGTCATTGCAGACTCAATGACATGAAAAATTAATACTATCACAAGTATAGAAGGTCACTTAGTAAAGTATTAAATAAATATAAAAAAAAATTTGATATATTTGTGACCAAAATTAAATAAATAAAAATTTTATTTTTTGATCAAAAATCAGACTTTATTTTTGTTAGCTACTGTATATACAATTTAGGATGTACTTGTTATTGATCATTTTGTGTATAATAACTGATTATTCACAAGAACACTGTGTTTATGACATCACTGAAGAGCAGTGCTGCTGTGAAGAAATCAGTGATTTTTAGTAACAATTTAACTAATAACAACATTATTGTACATTTCTGATAAGCACCTGGTCATTTCTTGCATCTTATTAGGTCATTTTTAAACATGACATGCAATTTTGTTCATCTCTGATAGGTGATGAACAAAGTTTTGTATCATGTATTAGAACTAATCCAATGGGTTAGGGTCAAAATCCCGACAAACAGAATCATGACAGGTCATAATCACGACAAAAAATCCCGACAGCTAAAAATCCTGACAGTCAAAAATCCCGAAGGCTAAAAATTTCGATAATTAAAAACTGTGATAAAAAATATCCTAGATCATAACAAACCCTATCTTAACCCTTATCTAAAGTGACTTGACCCTAAAATTAATTAAATTCTAAAGAGTCTATTTCGCTTTAAACATATCTCATACTTGGGATTTTCTACCTAAAAATTCTGGCTGTCGGAATTTTTAATTATCGGGATTTTCGACTGTCGGGATTTTTTTGTCGGGATTATGACCTGTCGGGATTCTGTTTGTCGGGATTTTGATCCGCACCCGATCCAATAACATGCATGGTGAAGCGGTGAAACGGTGAGTCAGTCGTTTCAACGGTCTAGACCTCACGCAATGACGTTAGCAAGACTTCGAGGCGTGGATTTCGATTTGACAAGTATAACTTTATTTTTATAAATTTACTTTGAGTTTTTATTTAACAGTCACTTCAACTAACTACTACGATTCTACAACTACAAATTGATAACTATAGGGCGTTTGAACTTTCTAATTTTTCAATTGGGGATGCGAAAGATAAGTACTTTATAAAAAATTTTTTGGTTGCTTTTATACATGTTTATTCTTACTAACTAACTTGTCTGTTTTTAGGTTCCCTCCTATTTTTTCCACCATTCTGCCTCTCTAATCGTACGATCGCGGGTTTCACTTGACCAGGTAACTATTTTATTCAATTTGGTTTATTTTATTTTTATTTTAATGTGATTATACTGTTACGGGCAGAATTGTCAGTCACCACCAAATTCATAGGCAGAAGTTTGTCTGATTGGCTAATAAATTCAATTTAATTTTACATTATTTATACAGTTTAGAGTACT